TATCGCTGTTTTTACCTCCTGACATTTTATATCTCATTTAATGTGATGTCGACAGCCAGACAACTATATAAAATATACATTTATGTAATTACGGTCCGCTTTGATATTGAAAGTCTGCTAAATGAATAAATGTAAATGTAAATGTAAATGAAAGTCATGTCAAACTGTCATGTCAAAATTGCATATTTGCATATCACACTTGTTTTTCTGCTAGTAACTAATAGGATAGGCTACTCAGCATTTGCAAAACATCCCAAACAATTTATTTACAATTTATTATAACTATGTGTATAGTTAATTTAATGATTTGTCAGGTCTGTTACTCAAAACTGTTACTTGAACTTCTTGATGAAGACTGAATTTAATATTGCCTGTATTTAATATGATAATATTAACCATCTTTATTTTGTAAGGACATATTGCTACTGTCACAGTTAAGTTCAGTTGAGTTAGATGGTTTTCATGGACTTTCAGTTGGTTTTCATCAGTCACATGTGTTCTTTTGTTTGATTTTCCCGCCAATCATCGACACTCATCTAATCATCACACCTGTACGTTATCATCTCATTATCACTGTGTATTTAAGTTCCTCCTTGTTCACTCTTCAGTTGTCTGTTATTGTTTGTGTTAGTGCACACTGTTACGCCTATCTGCCTTTTTGTTTGATCAAACTATCTTGATATCGATCCTCTCTTCAGTCCGTCTTCATCTTGTGACAGCTACTTTATATGATATATAACTATATTTATGCTTATTTTATTATGTATTTTAATATAGATTTGATTAGGGTTGTCAATTTAACATGATTAATCATAACAGAAATAAAGTAATAAAATAAAGCAATTAATTTAATGAATTTGATATTAATTCTAATTTATACCTTGACTGCCCGTATATCAGTTTATACTGTGTCATACTGAGTGAGTTATCATGGGATAGTTAAAAATAAAGAGAACATAAAATTAATAAAATTCTAGTGATCATCTCAGATTAATGCAGCCATTTTTTTTTTTCAATTAACAGCAGGCAAAACCCATGTTTCATTCAGAAGAATCAGTGTACGACGTATGCCTCTGATATCTCTATCACTCTACATGTAATGAAAAATGACAGTGTATCATGATTACGCATATTTTTGGCTTCTGATATGATGATTTGTGAAATCTCTCCAGCTGGGGCCTGTGGGATACGTTGTGTTTAAACGCATTGTCCCCTGGAGAGGCTCGCTGGCCTGCGGCGGACCCCACTGAAGTAAAGTAGACTCATTCTGTTCCCCTATAGGGAGATTGGAATGGGTAGTCATGCATTTAAAGCTGCGGAGACAGCTGGGGAAAATGGTACGTTATCTCATTGAGAAAACAGAGCACAACTGAAAAATGCTCCAGAGGAAATGGAAAGAGAGAGAGAAGTAGACGAAGAGAGAGAGAGAGAGAGAGAGAGAGAGAGAGAGAGAGAGAGAGGCTGTGCTGTAATAGTGACCTTGAAGGTGTGATTTGATAAACTGCAGTGTGGAGTACGCTTGCTCAACAACATATGCACACGCACACATACTCTGATACCCAAGCACTCAAAAAAAAACCTTTTACATTAAAACGTTCTCTTTACAAATATTATTTATAGGCTTTGTTCAAATAGGGATTAAAAAAAAAACTGTTTTGTGTGTGTGTGTCCAAGTCAAATCAGATTAGTAGTTGTTTGAATTTTAAGTATTTTACTCATGTCCCAAAGTGTGGGATATTGTCCGAATACCATCTGTGAACTAAGAATTGTCACTTTAAATGTCAATTAAACAGTCACTTCCTGTTGAAATGAGTGGTTCTTGACAAGAATAAGCTGCAAAATGGACCAGGATTTATGCCGCAAGTCTAAAGTTTTCTATTCGGAAAACAAGGAAATACATAAAAGGCGCCATAGAAAACCTTTTGAGACTTATTCACCTCTTACCTCAAGTCGAGTATTCATCACCGAAGACAATACCCTCTGCGAGCAGGGCTGATGTTTGGATGGTTAATTGTTTTATGTAGGTTGAGCTTTCCTTGATTTGTCTCTATTGTCTGCGGCAGAACGACTGATTGTTCGCAGAGACGGCACTTTAGCGAAAAAGTTTAACTGCAATTAGCACTTTTCCCCCGTAGAGGAATCCGTTCCTCTGTGGTTCGATGAAGACAGATCGCTCCGCCTCTGCTCTGAGCGTGGCAGGCTGTTTTCTTCATCAAGTTGAGGAACGAGGGATGGGATCTACTTTAAATTTCAAAAGAACAACAAAGGTATTCATTAAAACTCCAGGCTCATTTATCTACATTGTCTTTCTTTTGTTCACTTCTTTCCTTTACTTTAAAGCGACTTTGACTGTTGCCTCTTATAATTTTTTTTTTTAGATGTGCTTTGAGTTTTATAGCTTTGACTATAGATGAGTCTTATATTTTAAAAAGGAGCCCTCCAAAAAGAACTGGGCCTGGTAAAACTGCAAAAGAATTCATATCTAATTTTAAATGACTTTCATTGTAGATATTTGCTTTTAGGATCCAGATGGTGCATCCTCAATGCCTGTCCAAAAACGTAGCACGTTATCATGATTTCTTGTTGTAGTTAACAAAAGGAGTAGCAGCTGTCAGCTTGCTAATCGAAGGCTAGCTCAAAGCACAGGGACATTTATCCATTTTTAGCTCCGATAATACAGTGTAATGTGATATTGACACAATTTAAATGAATTAATACAACAATTGAGTAATTAGTTAACAATAAATAGCAATCTATTATTTTTAATTGTAAAATAAGACAATTGTTGTGGTAAAAATCTTGCTGCCATGTTGCCAGAGAGTTGCTGTGGTGTTGTTAGGGTTTCAAGGTGTTTGCTAGGTGAATATAATTGTGTTATATGCAATTTAAAATGCGTTAACAAACTTTTATGATTGATAAAGCAATTTTCTATCATTTATAATAAAGTAATGAATAAAATACCCAGTAAAAATGGTCTTAGCACATGGATCTTGCATGGCACTAGCATCTACAAGCTATCATGCTAATAGGCCATGCTAACCAGACAAATGTTGACCCCCTCATAATAACTAGCGCACAGAGGAATGAAAACACCACACTTTGTCCACTGAAACACACATACTCGCTCTCTGTGACATTCTGAAGATGTAATGTAATGCAAAATAATGAATAAAATACCCAGTAAAAATGGTCTTAGCACATGGATCTTGCATGACACTAGCATCTACAAGCTATCATGCTAATAGGCCATGCTAACCAGACAAATGTTGACCCCCTCATAACAACTAGCGCACAGAGGAATGAAAACACCACAGTTTGTCCACTGAAACACACATACTCGTTCTCTGTGACATTCTGAAGAGTATTGAGGATTGTGCCGTGTTTGCCAGTAGGGGCCTAGCATCCGTCTTCTCTTGTGTTATTTTCTTTGAATGGCCTCCAAAAATATTAAACTTCATAACCTAGTGCTCTAACGGCTACACTCCACTGAACAAAGTCTTCTGCAAGTACTTTCTCTCTCTGTTGTGCAATTTGCGAAGGGAACTGCTTATCCTACAGAACCTCATACGGCCGTGACATATCAAAGCCGAAATGGCTTTTCAAATAGCGGCCGCTCAACCTCCTTTCCTTCAGCGACGCCGTGGCCGTACAATGTCACCGAGGACGTCTTCATTACAGCAGCCAACCCAGATTCTGGGGTGAAACAACTAGCTAAAGCCGTGCCAGTCTTTCACCTTTTGTTTCACGATTATGTAAAGCCCTTTTCGTACTCGCGTCAGTTGGAATCCACCAGGCCGCCAAATAGAACATTTCTAATTTAATGTCTCATCCACTTCACTTTGTTTGAACAGTTTATATCCTTCGCCCTCCCTCTCGTGCTTCTCATGAGAGGGACTCGCTAAGCCCAGATTACTTTGAGCTCTCGAGCCGAGTATGAAATGAACACATATCTATTCTTTTGATACTTTCAATAGAGTTGAAATGGATTTGCTCTTTCAGAAAGGCATGTGCTCGCTACAGACCGGCTCGAAACGAAGTCCGTCGCTTCTCATTTGTCATATATGGCTCACTTCTGACTGGGAAGGAACCGTGATTTCCGAGAGAGAAGTTATTGGTTCACTTCAGAATGAACGTGTACATCCCGGTAATAAGGTAATTCCTTCAAGAACTGTTTGAAGGAAATTGTCTGATTGAGAATTTCTCCCAATGTCTGAGTCTAGATGAAAATGTTACTGCTCAGACATAGCTCCTTCAAAACTTAATGAAGTCCCCAATAATGTTTCATGTACACCACTGTTCAAAAGTTTGGGGTCGGTAGGATTTTATGTTTTTGAATGTATTTTCAAATGTAATTTATTCCTGTGATGCAAAGCTGAATTATTATCCACATATGACAAACCGGAAACTGCAACCACACTTCAACATTCATTCACTCCAGTTCCAATTACACGCTGACTACAACCGTGTCTGGCCGACAACTGACATCAAATCCGTTAACTTGATTTTTCTGGGTTCGCACTCTATTATGTCATTATGTTTTATCAATATAATTTTGTTCAGTGGGATTTAGCATTGATTCAGCAATGTTTCCATCCAGAGGAGGACTACAAAAGGGAGGAATTGAGAGACAGAAAGCTGTATATGGATTTTTAGTGGACGATTAATGTCTGACATCTTGAGGTCAATCTTTTTCAATTCCATGAACTTTAACAAGTAACATTGTCAATATGAAACCAAAATTGACTATATTTGCTGTTTTAATACATGCACTTGGTCTCACAGTATTTTGAACAATTTAGTTTGGCACATCATTCCAAAGGAAAAAGAAAATATTGTCTTGTAATTTTTTATCAAAATGTAACGTTAACATCTAAAATAGCTTTTGTTTTATGCCTACATAAGCAAGCCCTCTTATTTTTCAGGGGTCTCGGTCTGCTTGTTTGGTGCGCACCAGGATTCAGATGGCAGTGTTCACACTTTTTCAAATGATCCGCACTAACCTCCCAGGTGTGAACCTAAGACTTTTCATGTGGTGACATTTTTACAGTCATCTTGGGAAATCCTCTGCCAGCCATTTCCATTCATTCAAACGTAGCGCCTATATGATTTGGAAAAGATACAAAACAACCAAATTTATGATCAAGATTACATTGAAATAAGATACTTAATTGAAAAAACATACAGCAGAAACCAATCAAATTGAATTTGACTTAACTGTTTTACTGTTAATGAAGGTACATTAGTTTCTTCCCAGATCTCCACGTTGAAGAGAATGACATAGGAGCCCAGGTTGCTCTTGAAATTCTGTTCATCAGCGAAGTTCACTTTCAATCATCTGTATCCGTGCATTTTCAGTCGGTGAAACAATCACAGTCTGTGAGTTTTAATTTCTAACATCCCTCACTGTCTAAGACTCGCGGAGTGAGCGGAGAGATCCATAATAAAAACTTTATTGCTCGTTGCCGAGGAAGGAAAGTAATTACAGGCTTTATAAGGTTATCAATTCCTTGGACCTGATCTTCATCGATCGCTCCAAGGAACATTTTACACGTCAGACAGATAATGGGCAGGGCCTCAAGGGTGTGTGTTTGTGAGTGTGTGTGTGTGCAGACATTTTCTTGCTGAGAAATAAAGCACTCTTGGCTTCAATCTTCTTTTCTTGACACAGCACTTTTCCTAAGCAGGTGTTACAAATCTCGACCATTAATGACTCCAGAGCAGATCTAAAAATGTCTGGAACTCTTTAGGTGATTATTTCTCAATTAGATCACTGTGATTCAACATCATTCATACAGAAACCTGTACAACTCTGTGGTGTGAATAGATTCATAGCAAATGAGTCTCACCCAATGTTAATAGATTGACTTTTTAGGACATTAACCCTTAAAAGCATACCTCGGGTCTTTAGTGACCCGGGACGTCATCCACTACCCTCCCCTTCATTCATTTTTTAAAGTTAGACATCAACCTTCTTAGTGTTCCTCAATCAATTAATTACAAACAATATAACAAGAAAAAAATGATAAAAGAATGCCTGTTTTCCCATTCATTTTTTGTAAAAAAAAATTATAGGGTCGCTAACGACCCAATGGTGTAACAGTGTAAGTATATTTTTCTGCACAACAATAATTGAATCTTTGATGACTGAATAAGAACAATTCACCTTTATTCCACAAGGGCGCAAAGTCTGATATACAATAATGAAGTGGCGTCTCACTCATAGTTACCGCAGGCGGAAAACAAAAGATTAGGAAGTATCATCAGCAAAACTTGAAATGGCTCAGTGATTTACTGCAGAGCAAGTACTGAACGCAATCCAATATTAGTGTCACTGTCACTTGATGGTGGATCTGGTGAAGAAGCTGTCAGCGATTAAAATAATGATTTTGAAGATGCTGAAAATGATAGTTTTGAGGATGTGTTTGAGATTGCGAATATGAGCTAGATGCTGAATGTACTGGGAAATGAGCTCTGACAAGGACAGTGATTGATATTGGTAACATCTGCTCAAACTGAACCCTCCTAGCAACAAAAGGTAACACATATGCTTTATTTTATTCTTCTGTAATTGACCCAAAAGACCCAAATATGTAATAAGGATTGGCGAAACATTCATGCATTTAAGGGTTAAAGGTGAGGTTACACCAGACTTAAAGCTTGTGAAATGTCTTTGGACCTCGCAACAATTACGGAAAAGAAGATTGGATGTCAAACACTAGAAAATGTGCTTCAAATTAACTTTTATCTTTTTAATTATATAAAAATAAGCTCACATTGATAATGTAATTTGTATTAGCCTATACATACAAACAATTACAAATCCCTTTAACAATCAGACCTGTAAATGCATATGTAACTTGATGACCTACACAGGAGAACAAGTGCAGAGCCATACAGTAGTCTTTACACTGACGCACACATTCAATTTTTTCCCCTCTGACATATCTTTTCAATAACTATGATTTCTGAGATGGAAAAGAAAGACTCTTCTTTGAATTGTGCCAAAGACATGGTGGTACTTTCGAGCAGTAATAAAATACTTTAAAACCCTGGGAGAGTTTATTTTTGCATTATGAAGGTATACGCACTCAAAGGCCAGGGGAGAAAAGGGAACGCGACAGTTGTTCTTTCAAACTGCACACCACCTTTCCATTTCAAATGACATTTTGAAAATCCCATAAAGGGATCGAAGGCAAATAATTTCTGTGACAAAGCACTGCATGTGGGGAATTTACGTTTTTTCCCTCCAAACCGTGCACTTGGATCTATAGGATAAAAAAAAGAAAAAGAAAATGACTATGGTGCTCCAAAAACATTATTGTAACAAAAAATGGTGTGTGCCTCAATCTAAAGTGAAAACTGTATGGTTAATTATGCACCCTCATGTCTTTCCTAACCTGTATTTCTTTTGTGAAACAAAATTAGGAAAATTCTCAAGATTGTGCTGATTGCTTTTTCTTTGTTCACTAGCTTTCTGATGTCATGTAATTATTTTTATTATTCACTTATAATTGGTCAGGGAGTTGAACTGGTTCATACGTTTTTAACATAATTTTTGGGGGCATGTCATAAAAAGTTTGCCAGAAAGAGGTAAACCTGGATTTTCGTCACATCAGAGCGCCGCCAGAGTCCCGTCAGCGATCCTGAAGGTTCCCCTGGAGATCAATGGGATTTGACGTGCTGTCAGCAGAATCAAACGCTCATGATGGATGGCTCCGTTCGGTTTATTGTCTCCAGCTGACGTAACGCTGAGCGGCTCTCCTCTAGCCCACTTCTTCAAACCCTTAGGGGAACCAAGAATATGAAACAGAAATCTTACCTTGTCTCTTTTTTCACCTTATGTTATGTTTAGTTCTGTAAGAAGAGTCGGGTTCTATAAAGACGATAGTCCCTGAAGACTTGAAGCTGTTTAAAGAAATGTTTGCATTATACCTCAGTCATTTAAGTCAGCCTGAACCGTACAAAATGTATATATATGATGTATAATGAAAGCACTTTACAGTTTGTTTTATTTCAGGCTGACTTAAAGTCAGCTTCAAATATACAGCCTATAAAAATGTAAGGTAGTAATAAAATTGAGAAATGTTTTGTATATAAAAAAAAAAAAGTTATATAAATAGGCTACAAAAAAAACTTTGTAGTGAAACGTGGCCTGGAAATGTTCTTGGAGTTGCCAGGCATATTTTCATTGCTAGCTAATTATTTTTCATCAATGTGCTCACTTTTCTCAGAATTTGTCAAGGGCTTATAAAACATGGTCTAGTTGGACAGTGTTAAAAAAAAAAAAGGTCTGGAAATAGCATCATTTTCACAAAGCAGCTAAGCAGTTTCCATGGTGGCCTACGCTAATGCTTTATCGCTAATTCTGACTATCCCATTTAGAAGAGGATATGTGGCCCGCTCAACCCCGGAGTGGGACTGAGGACAGAGGAAATTCAGGAGCATGGGAATACCAATGGCATCGATCAGATGATGAAACAATGATGGGATTAACAATTTTTTCCTCACATCCAACCTGTACTAATTTCTGACTAGCATAAACTCCCATGCCATCAGGAAGAGAATGTTTTGGGCTGAATTACGGCTGGCTCCGCAGTGCTGGAGATGGAGAAATTGGATTAAATTCATGCCACTCACAACTGCCCTCTGGACTTATGAACACACACGCACACGCAACTCTGGCATCATGAAAATAGAAAAGACTCAAATCCATGCTAAGCTGCTTTGCTAAATCACATTAACACATTATTTAAGGCTAAAAACCTTTACCCTTATCAACAGCTCAAACATCCAGATGCTCTGACGAATAAACTAACTTCTTTCCTCAGTAAAATGAAAATGTAAAGATAGTTGCAGGTTCTAATGTGTGAATATGTTGTGCTACTTTAGCTAAACAACACCTAGCACAGTAAACAAACAAATGCTAAAGCTATATTCTAACATAACATTTGTCATAATTGAGCAACAGTGTTGTGTGTAACGCGTTACAAAGTAACGCGTTACAGTAACGTAACTACTTTTTCGGGTAAAAAGTAGTGTAACGCGTTACTACTGAGAATTTGGTAACGAAACGTAGTTCCTTTTTCTATTCCGCACAACGTTACTTTTCCCATGGACAGATTTGACAGCAACAGTGTCTCCTCAGCTGCGCGCTTGCAATAGTCACAAGCTCCACATGGTACGTGACAGAGGCTGGTAGCAGAGCAATCAATTCTGTGAATTACACTGCGCAAACCAAAAGTAATACTCCCACCGGATGAAGAAGGGTTGGCTCTCCACAGAACATAAAATATTAATTGTATTGAATTTTTCGTGTATGAGGAAAGAAACAATATGGACGTAAAGGCCAATTTATACTTCTGCGTCGAGTGTACGCCGTAGTGTACGGCGTAGGCTACGCACGTAGGCGACGCCGTCATGAGCATTTATACTTCTGCGTTTAGGTCTGCGTTGCTCTGCAGTACAGCGCCGAAACGCTAGTTGGCGGCGGAGGGTTTTAATGTTCCACTGTGTTTAGATTCCTCGCGGCAAGAAGAAGAAGAAGATTCCTCGCGGTTGTTTTGAGTTTAGGTTACTACAAGCAATGGCGACTGAAAGAGAGCAGATCATGTTGGAGTTGGAGCTTATCGAGGTGGAAAAGGTCAATTTTTAGTTTTTTTAACAGTTTCGCTGTACTTAGAATTTAAAAATGGCGGGCGGTGCAGAAGAACACGCCGGAAATGCATAGGAGGAAACGCGATGCTACCAAGCCGACCAATCACAGATCTTGCGGTCCGCGTCGTCGCGACGTGTAGTTACATTTTTGAGGAGGTGCGCGTCAGGTTACGGCGAAGGGTACGGCGTATGGTACGCGTCTGTGCGTATGCTACGCCGTACCTACTGCGCGCACCCGACGCAGAAGTATAAATTGGCCTTAACAGTTCTTCGGACTTGACCGCTCTGAAAGCGGCACTAAAATACTGCTTTAAATCTTTCACAGAGACCTCAAACAGGCATTTAAAACACCAAATATTAAGGATTGGCATATCAAGCAAAATAATATTCGATGATTGCTCGAAAATCGTACCTCTACCCCCACATGCTTACAGTAAGACGGCGTTCGCTCAAATCCCGCTCCGATATTAAATTTCTCTGTATAGACCTGCGTGTTGTAGCCTAGTCATTAAAGAAAACGATTTAGTTTCATATTTATGTTTAAATAAAATTATTTATTTTTTAATTTCATCTATGTTGATTATATGAAAAGTGAAAAGCATGAGTAAGAGCATAAGATGCGCAATCGGGAGACAAATGGAGTGGGCAGACATGATTTTGACCACTTCATTAAGTTTGTTTTTGTAGAAAGCCTTTCTTTAAAGTGAATTTCGTTTTGTATTAATTGTATCTTAATTTTAATCAATGTTTCATCAACCAATTGTCTTTAATAAATAAGCAGTAAATATAGCAGGCAATATAATCAGGATTTCTCAGGAGCTCCGTGCCGGCGCGTGGACTGAGCTCGTCTCATAAATGAACCGAAACTTAGCGCAAGCTACTTGCCTCAAAGATCTGAGAAATATATAGAAAGCTTGAAATGTGTACTTTAAAACAAAACTATTCAAAACGAGAGAAAACAGACTCTCTGCTTATGTAATCTATATGAAATGTGCATTTCTCTCTGGCGCGTTCACTACTGTGAAGATTGCGAGTCAGCATCGTCAACTTTATCTTTGCAGCCGACACTGACTGACAAAGAAAACACTTGTTTATTAATAAACAATTGAAATGTCTCCTTGCTATATTTGATATTCGATATTCATAATCATTTCTTTTGCCGGTTCTTTGTGACATTTTTCATGAACGCGTCACCACCGCTCAATAGTTAATATTGTGCT